CCCAGCCCCATGATATGACCATAGACAAGAAGAGACCACTCCAAAGGAGCCCCTTCCTGAGACTAATGCTATACCACAGCAGGGACTGGAGAGCACAGCAGGCTATCCCTACCATTTATGAGTGAGCTTGAGCAGCCTGCTTATTCCGCTTGAGGAGAGCTATCTGGGCCAACTACAGCCTTGCCTCAGCACCAGACACTGCAGTCCATCTGTTAGACCACCAGGGAATTTGCTCCTCTGGCTTAGGTGGCAATGGCTACAAGAGCCATCTAGTGCTCACCCAGGCTCACACAGCCCTGGCTGAGGCTGTGCCCTCAGGTGCTGGGACACTCCTATGTGCCTGATTGGGAGGGAACTTGCATAGTTGTCTTAAGGTGTCTCTGGAATGTTCCAGATGGCCAGAGCCAGCAGAAGGTAGTAGAGATGACAGTTTTGTTCAGAACAGCCACACTTCAAAAGCAAGCTACCTAATTAGGGCGTTACACTGCTTCCATCTGAAAGCGTCTTTAGGCTTTGTTTATAGGAAAGCAAACACGAGAACTTCTCACTGATTTTTTTTTTTTTTTTTTTTTTGTAAAGATTGGTTTCTTTTGAGACTGGGACACGTACCCCAGAGTGACTTCAAAACTGGCCATGTAGCCTAGAATAGCCATAAACTTCTGAATCTCCTGCTTCCATCGCCCAAGTGCTGGGATCATGGTGCACACAGCACCATGCCTGGCAGTTTTAACAGCTAGCAAGTGTTTCAGGAAGAGGGGGTCCCTGGGTCCCTCTCATCTGTCCCAGGGCTGCACCCCCAGAGTGGGGAGCCTAGCCCTATAGCTAGGCTATAGTGTCACTGCTCAGGCCCAGAGCCTGAGGCCTTGTGAACTCAACACCACTCCAAGCACAATGTGTATCCCTATTTATAGAATCAGAAAGGGATATTTGCACCTCTCAGGGCCATGCTCTGGCCATCTTTTGTGTGAAGAATTCCATTTAAGTCAATCACAGCTTCCTGTCAACCACCTGGGGCACACCTGTGAGCACCCAGGAGGATAAACAGGTCCCTGAGGTTCATTCTCAGTGTAATCTGCTGAGCAGCAGCCACGGAGGCCTGGGCTGATGGTGTACCACTCAGCAGCCCTGGTTAAGGGATGATCTCAGCTCTGACTCTGGCCCTGTAGGACAAATACTTTTGCTTCAGGGTGCAGTCCCTCTGTCAAGGAACACTGCCTGCATTTGAGGGAGGGTGTCCTGTCCTGAGGGTTGGCCTGACATGGAGGGACATTCTGTCCTTCTGGTCTCTGCAGTTCCTGGATTCCAAAGTCAATGCAGTTTCAGGGCAATGACTATTTTTGTGCCTTTGAATTTGAAGTGGGATGTAACTAATATGAGGTGAGCAGCTGACCCAAAGGAGAACAGTCACAAAATGTCACCACTTTGCAGGACCAAATGAGAAGCCAGAGCCTTTTGGCAAAAGCAGCTTCTAAAGACCTCTCTGAAGATCTGAGGGGATGGCTCAGTGTAACATCTACATTGGGGTTTTAGAAGGAAGAAAACACACCTGACTCTCATTTTATATTTCAGTTTTGGAACCCAGGGCCTACACCCCTCTCCCAAGCCATACCCTAGCCCTTTGGTTATATACTGAACAGTTTTAAGGCCTGTGCATCTGGGGAAACTGGCTGATTTCTCTGGTCGACATGAATGGGCCTCTGAACCAAGTTGACTGGCTGTGTAAGTCATCCCCGTCTGCAGGATTTGTGGGTACACTATTAGAATACTTATGGTGGGCTTTCTTGGGTCCTCAGAGGTCTGGGAGATGGGTGGAGGTCCTTAGGCCTCAGAAGTTTTCCATGATGGTGGCCTTTAGGCCTTGCTGTGGGGGCAGAGTGGTGTGTGGCTCTGCCTCCGCTGTTGTCATAGCAAACCACTGCACTTGCAGAATATTATTTTAAGGTGCCGCTACATTTGTTATGCTCTGGAACATTCCTTTAATGATGTAAAGATGTGTGATTTTTGTTTATGCTGCATTTGTTTAACTCTGTGAAGCTGTGTTACTGTGCCTGTCTAAAACACCTGATGGTCCTAATAAAGAGCTGAATGGCCAATATCGAGGCAGGAGCAAGGATAGGCGGGGCTGGCAGGCAGAGACTATAAATAGAAGGAGAAATGAGGAAGATGAGGAAGACGGAAGACAAACAAGAGAGCAGGACATGGCGGCAGCGGGGGGAGGGGAGCCAGTCATGGAGTAAGGAGGAAATGTAAGATATGCAGAAATACGAAAGACGAAAGCCCAGAGGGAAAAGGTAGTGGGTAATTTAAGAAAAGCTGGCAAGAAACAAGCCAAGCTAAGGCCGGGCATTCCCAACTAAGAATAAGCCTCCATGTGTGTGTTTTTTTCTGGGAGCTGGGTGAACGGCCCCTCAAAAAGCCAAGAGTAAAACACCACACTACAGCACCCTTGGGTTTCCAATCACCAACAGAAACCCACCACCCCAGGGGCCGTGACTGCGTGCCACCAATCAGTCATCATGTGAACCCTGCCTCCCTGGCAAGCGGTCGCCTTCCTCTGGTGGTCAGAGGGTGGCTATTCTCTTCTCCCAGACTGCTACACCCGTCACCTACCTCTGAGCAGCTTTGTCCCACCTGTCAAAGACACTGCTGGCTGGACCCTGCCCACTGTTCTGTCCTCTCCCTATGCTGCGTGTCTTCTCTCTGCAGGCCTCCATGCTGCAAGTTCATCTGACGATAACCCACCCTGTCCCATGTTTTGAGTCCTGCCCCCTCCCTCTTCACTGACAGGTGCCTCATTTCCCAAGTACCCCAGCTGTGGCCATGTCACAGGCCAGTGAGTTCTAACATGAAGCAGCACCAGATGCAATTCCTAATTTCTATTCTCAGATGCATTTCCTAATTTCTATCCTCTTCTTTGAAAGGTGCAAGCCCACTGCTCCTTCCCTCTTGCTCCTGTGAACCAAAGACCCTGGAAAGAAGCTGGACCTGCCACTGGGCCTTCTGTAAGACTGATTAGAACTTCAGAGCTGTAGGGAGGCTGAAACTGTGTAAGTCCAGAGCCTAATGACAATTTATCTTGGGCTATCTTCAGCCCCTTTAAGAGCCATTCCTTGCCCATCTCTGCATCTGACCAAATGCCTTGTGATTAACAGGCATTTGAAATGTGTTAACAGACCAGCAGCTTTCATCAACCAAAAGCTAAGAGTGTCATCAGCTAGCATCTGTAATCTATAGCAGAGTGTTATGGACTATTAATATATGTTACATTTGTTTATGAGGTTGAATATGTGTTTAATGAGCAAAGATATGTTACATTTGTTTCATTTGTTTAATTCTGTAAAGCTGTGTTACTTTGCCTGCCTGAAACACCTGCTTAGACTAATAAAGAGCTGAATGGTCAATAGCAAGGCAGGAGAGAGGATAGGCAGGGCTGCCAGGCAGAGAGAATAAAAAGAGGGAGGAGACGGAAGAGGGAGGACACCAGGGGCCAGCCACTAGCCACACAACCAGCCACGGAGTAGGGAGGAAAGAAAGGTATATAGAATAGAGAGAGGTAAAAAGCCCTGAGGCAAAAGGTAGATGGGATAATTTAAGAAAAGCAAAATAGAAACAAGCCAAGCTAAGGCCTGGCATTCATAAGAATAAGTCTCCATGTATTAATTGGGAGCTGGGTGGCAGGTCCCCAAAGAGAGACATCCTGATTTTCTTCAATTTGCTATGTTATGTTTTGTTGCTGTGACAAGCGCCATGAGCAGGAGTGACTTAGTCCATTCACAGTGATGTACTTCCTAAAGCAAGACCCCACTCCTAAAGGGTCCGCAGCCTCTCTACACAGTGCCACCAACAGGGAGTCAGGCATTCAAATACCGCAGCCTATAGGGGACATTTCTTATACAGACAACTAACACCGAGTACCTGATGTTTCCATCAGTGTACTTGAGACGTGCCTTGACTCATGGCTTTCTTAGTTCAGTTACTATAAGAACTTCATGAAACTTGAACACTGGAACATAGAATTTGGAGTGACCTGAATCCATGTTCCCAGGCCATCATCACTCATACACACACATAAACTCATATGTACATATATACTCAGATATACATATAAACTATCTCTTCCTCTTTGAGGTAGGAGCTGTTAATTTTTTAACACTCCCTCTTTCTTCCCTCCCTTGTTGACGTTCGTGCATTCCTTCACAGCCCCCTGTGTTCGTTCTCAGCCATTGTCACTCCCTGTGCGTATTTGGTTACTTCCCTTCCCTCTGTCCCTCCTCCAATTCCCTCCCTCCCTCCCTCCCTCCATAGCCCCATGGCACAGTATTTCTGGGGACCCCCTGGACAATAGTAGGAACATGTACTTCTCATCTCACAACCCAAATAAGAGACAGAGGGCTGCCCAGAGGATAAATAGTGTGTCATATCCAATAGGGGCAGGGAATGGTGAAGCTGTCAGTGTCAGTAGGGGCCTTGCCTTTAGTGAGCCGGGATCACATGAGGCCTTAGCATAGGGGAGGCTCACTTCTGACTTGGCAGGGACCCCTGCTGATTCCTAGCAGTTACAGTGATCGTTTTTTGGTGACACACTTCGAAAGCAGAACTGTTAGGAGACCATGGGGAGCAAAGGGAGGTGCCCAGGACACCAGCAACAGATGGCCTGGATTACCCTTGCTCAGGGAACAGACATGGGTGAAGATGGGATTGGCCACGCTGGACACCCAACATGACAGCAATAGAGAAGCAAGCTGTTAAGGCTGCCTGAGCACTGGGAGGGTGGGGTGGGGGGGTGCTGAGGGATAATCTGTGCTTCAGCATGGCCTCCCCAAGAATGGATGGGAGAAGATACAACCCATGTGAACAGTTGGCATTTGACCCTGGAAGGCTGCTGAATTCATGTCAGGTGATGGGCATGTGACACTTCACTGCTTCCAGCACAGGCCTGTGCATCTCTTAGCAAAAGGGTTGACACACAGAATGAGAGACCAGGCAGGCAGACACGGAACTCTCCAAAAGCACATGGTTTATTATGGTGAGCTGTAGTGCACATCCGTTTCTTTAGTTCTAAGCCAGTACAGGTTCCCCACTAAGAGTACATATGGGGAGTGACTGAGCAGGGCTGACAGAAACAAACCAGTGAGCCACTGTGATCCCTAGAAAGTTACAGTAGCAATCAGAAGAGAAAGGGAAGTGTGAGGTGGCCTAGGGGTGGGATCTGAGCACCCTAACTGCTCTCATGATGGTCCCCAGGGCACCCAGAAGCTGGGGAGGCTGCTCCTCCCCTCTATCTACTGAGGGACTGGGGCTTAGTGGTTGAGACGCCCCACTACCTGCAGGTGGCACCCTTTCCTAAAATGCTTTTCAGGCACTAAGTCCATCCTTGTTGAAGAAGGTGCTGTGTTCTTAAAGGTGCTTGGGTCTGGTTCCCTCTCCTTCACCTGCGGGGGCTCTCATGGCCCCTTGCTGGCTCCCACCTTCTTCAGGCCAAGCCTTGTGCATCTTAGCATTCCTCCCACACCCCAATCCCTCTGCATCCTGGTGATGGGGTGACTGAAGCTCGGCTTGTCAGGCTTCTTCCAGTGCCAAGGGCAGAGTCTGCACAAGGCTGGCCCAGCCCTCTACAGATAGAGATTTTGTCATGCAAGACATGATGCATTCATGTCCCTGTCCTCTCTTCCAGGTTTCACAAGAATCCCAATTTCAGATCATTTCCCCCTTTTAGTATTAGTGATTCTTTAACCAGATGCACACATGTCTCTGTAAGTGAAGTCATGCACAAAAGCTACCAGCCCAGGTACCAGCATGTGGTTTACAAAGTGGCACGGTCAGCATGTGCTTCTGGGAGCAGAATGGGTGGCTTGGTAAGAGTCACAGATCTACAGATCTGGGCCTAGGAGCACAGTAGTCTAGAGTGGGGTCTTTTTTTTTTTTTCTCCTTAATGGAGAAGAAAATCCCCCATGCCTGTCTCCTGCTGTCCAGGGCTCCCTGAGCAGCTGTGGGTGCTGACTGGCCCTCTTAGCACAGCACACTTTTTATTTTCTAAAGAGACACAGATCTGAGAGGGAGCTCTGGACAGCTCCTGGACACTGCCTCCCCTGCATGTAGTTCTTGACCCTGCTGAGGGGCACAGTGTCCTTATGGCCTGTAGTAGGTGGCCAGCTTCTGTCTGCCATGTATGGTCAGGGCCACCAGAGAGGGCGGAGGGCACTCCCCAGGACCTAGAATAAACTCCAGAAATGACATGGCCTAGGTTGTAAGGTGCCTCTTCCAAGACGACAGGGCCCTGAATTGCAGCTTCCTGGAGGATCAAGGGTCTACTCACCCCTCCCTGCAGCCAAGCAGTTTTTCCTGGCAGCAGCGCCCCTTCCCAGGGTCCTATGTGCACTAACAAGACTCCTGAGGTAACAACAAGCCCCTCTGTAAAGATGAAAGTGCTCCAAGGGGGCAGTGAGCCCCAGTTATTGCTGGCACTAAGTGAGGCCTGGGGCAGGCCTCTGGGCGGGCACCTGAGACTTCACTGCTCCTGGACAGCCTCTATGAGGTCCTGCTGCAGCCTGTGATGGGGTGCAGACAGCTGTGGTCCTTGTCTGCAGTGGCCACTGAGTGCTCTTGCTGCCCTGGGCAGGCAGCCAGCACCATGGCTTCATTACAGGCTCTTTTGCCACCAGAGGTAGCTGGGCTTCTACTGGCAAGCGACTTCTAGTGGCTCTGGATAGAGGGACAGCCCAGGCCACAGTCTTCCATCTCTGTGTTTTCTTCTCAATTAGGGGACCAGGATCTTCAGCAGACTGGCCCTGTGTGTGGGTACCACTTTTTCCAAAGCTGTCCAGGCTCCACCCCCACCCCCATATATGTAGTCTTTAGATTATATATACCATATATATTAAACACTCATCTTCAAAGCCACCCTCCTCAGCATGGAGCACTTAGTAACCTGAGAAAAGGAGCCTTTCTCAATGCATACAACATGCTCTGGGTAATCAAACTCCAGCAGGGGAAGGACTGTGTGCGGGAGAAGAGCTCCAAGGGCCACCCTCCTTTCCCGCAGCCTGCCTTCCATCTGAGAAGTTGCTGACCAGGTCATAGGGTGGCTGCCCATTTTGAGGAAGTGCCTTAGGGGGGCACATGAGCCTACTAAGGAGCTAGCTCTGGGGACACAGGCCACCTCATCACATGTCAGAGAACAACCAGTTAGAGAAGGCTTGGGACAGGAGGAAAGAAACCTCTGATTATTGCAGGCTGGGACATAGGACTGCAAGAGAGTCCCTGAACCCCACGGGAGCTGGGAGAGGTGGGCAGAGGCCGAATTTCTGTCAATCAAAGGACATTCCAACACAGTCCCTCTTTCATAAAGTGCCTACTCCAAGGCTGGCAGAGCCAGTGGCCAGTAGCCTTATATATGACAAATTATTATTTTTTTTCAGAGTAAATTGCACTAGGATTCCCTCCAATTTGTGATTCTTTTTTTTTTTTGTTTGTTTGTTTGTTTGTTTTTTCAAGCCAGCCAGCACTGCCCTTCCTCTGCCTGCTTCCCCCAGACCATGAGCTGGTTGCCTGGCCAGTTTGTTCAGGGTGGGCACCCAGCTCCTGTTGCCGCTGTCCTGTGAGAGACCCATGTATTTATTTCATGGAGGACAGAGTTGGTCACTTCTGGAAGTTCCTTGTGGAGAACGTGGTAGGCACCTTCATACATCTGTAATCAGAAGGATCAGGTAATTAGACCAGGTGTGTAGGACAGGCAGGGCACAGGAGTGCACAATGTCACACTTATGCGCTCACTCGACAGCCATTTCCAGTGTTCCCCTTAGTTCATTTTCAGATGGGACATTGCCATGTTGCTAAAGCTAGCCTTACATGTCTAGCCATCCTCCAACCTCAGGCTCCTGGCAGCTGAGAAGGCAGGTATGGGTCCCCTCTGTCCTGCTCCAGGCAGCACCCTCTAATCACAAATGACAATTTTGCAGCAATCTGGACATTCCATGCTGTTCCCAGGGCTCTCCAGATGCTGGTGCAGCTTAGATCCCCAGACCCTTCTTGCTAGGAAGCCTGTCCATCTTCATGCCCCCACATTCCATCACATCCTCCAGTTCTCTACTCTTCCTGTCCTACACACATAATTCATAGCAGTGGCCCCTGACAAGGTCTCCAGGGGTGTCCATTGCTGGACCCAGTCACCTGATGCTTGAATGACTCTGGACTTACCAGCAGTGTCCAGAGGCAGATCTGTGGCCCTGGCCTGTCAGCTCCCTCCCGTGCAGGTGGTTCATACAGCCCCAGCACTGTAGTCGCCACTCATGGCTTAGAAACCTGTACTACATGGCTGACTAACATGTTCTTCTAGCCAGCCCTCTTCGAAGTGACAACTATCTACTTGCCATTTGCCTTAGGAGTTCACTCTGCTGTCTGCTGGGGTCACCCCTCTCAGAGGGACACTGCAGCCTCCTTGCCTTTACAGGCCTAAACCCCAGGAGCATACTTAATACTGTGTGGAACAATCATCTCATCCATTGCCATGGCCCCTTACTTCCCTGTGCTAAAAGCACTCAAGCATGCGTCTTCTACTTTGAACTATTCAATGTGCTGCAGGTCACCAGGACATAGCTACCTAACTACATTTGCCCCAACCTACCTGTCCTCCTTCCTCTCCTCTCCCTCCTCACTCTCCCAAACTTGGAAATCATAATTTGAATGTTTATAGTGTAGGTTTAAGGATTTATTTCACACATGTCCATAAGGGCATGCCACTCTCGGCTTTCTGAGCCTGGCTTATTTAGCTTTTCAGTACATTTATCATCTTCCAGGAGCCTCCATGTGTTAACAGGCATTTGCTCTTTAGGGGGGATTGTGTTCTAGCAAGCACAGGTGTCTTGTTTCTTACCTCGGCTGTGAACTGTGTTCCCCATGAGCTCCTCTCCCTGTGCCAGCCTTGTACTCATGGTGCTCCCTGTGCCAAGCCCAAGCCTCCTCCCACTTCCCTTGCTTGGTGTGGAATGTTCTTCCGTGGCTATTCTCCCTGTAAGTTGCCTGCTTCATGGGGGGGGGAGTGGCCCAGCATCCCTCTGTCCTGCAGACCCTGACTCCTCAGAGTGTCTACAGGCAATCTGAGCATCCATTTTCTCTTTGTTCACCTACTGGGGTGCAGGCTCCAAGAGATGGGGAATCTTTGTCAGATGTCTGCAGGACCTCCACAAGGTCAGAACTCAATAAACAGGAGTTGCAGAAGCAACGGAAGACTGCTGAGTGAGTGAAAAGCTAATTCTCTGGGAGCTTGGAGCTGGGATGGAACCCTGGGCACCCCTGAATGAGTCAAGAGCTCCATCACTGACAAGCTCTTGACAATTTATAAAGATGTGAGTCTCTGCCAGAGTGGTACAGGGTTTAGAGGAACTGTGGACTCAAGTCCAAGGACTTCAGTTCAAATACTGACTCTACCACTTTTGAAGAGTCACCTGTCTTTGTAACACAGTGAGGATGCAGCCCAGATTCTGTGGTACCCCCACATCTGCTCAGGCCGGGGGCCCAATAATGTGGGCAAGGATGTGGGTATGCTTCAGTTTCAGGGTTCCATATTGTCTGACTGGTACCCAGTAGGGCCTTGCCTTCTCAGTTGGCGTGCCTCCTAGTTTAGTGGGACAAAGGAAAGTATATCTGGACCCAAAAAGCATCTATCTTGACCAAAGCCACTGTTCCCTGTGTCAAACATGTCACATCAAGTTGTAGCCTGTCCTCATGGGCCCCGACCACAGGTCAACTCCTGCACATGCCCTTGCAGATCAGACTTATCCAATTGCCCTGGAACCTGCACTCCCTGACCCTACTGTCCCTGTGGTGTCCTGATGCCCCAGGATCTGTAGACCCTGAGCTGTGGCAGGTTCAGAGAGCACTGGGGTACTGTCGGGAGCCCTGCAGCTTGGGTAAAACATTGTTTCCTGTGCCTAGCTGCAGGCTTTTTTCTTGCACATACCATCTGATTAGTCTCTCTATGAGGTTCATTCTTGTGAAGTGATGGGCTGGGGACCCATGTGTTGTCACAAAGTTCATTTGCCTGTAACCCCTCACCATTACTTCCCAGCCAGGCTGACCCCCAGGGTCCCTTGGGACATGGCCCCCAGCCTCTTACCTTGAGTGTCTTGTCCTGACTCCGGGATGATTCCATGAGCAGGTAGGCACCTTTGCTGTCACACAGCCGGTCAGCAGAGCCCTGCAGCAGCAGGAATGGCAGTGTCAGCTTGGGCATCGCACGCTCCACTCTCGAGACGGCGTTCAGCAGCTGTATGCCAAAGCACACCTTCACCCCTGCTCGGCAGATGAGTGGGTCGGAGTCGTATAGGTCCACCTGCGAGGAAGAGACCCTGTCAGCTCGTGGGCTCCTGAGAGGGTGTTCGTCTGTCTGCCCAGTGTGTTCAGTTCAGGAAAACTCAGGTCTGAACTGTGCTCAGCACCTCTGCACTCGGACCTGAGCATGTTTCACTCAGCTCTGACTCATACAGAACTCCCCAAGTGTGAGATGCTCAGGTACCTCATTCATACAGCTTGATATATTGTCTGAGTAGAGCTCCCACAACCCTTCCCCAAGCTTCAGTCATCTCTAGATGCTTATCAGATGTAGGCCAAGGTCAGTGCTATAGAAACACTGGATTGGTTGGATTCTATCATGAGGAGTCCAAGGATATGATGAAGGACTGACTGTCCACATACACATCTGTAGAAATTTTCCAATACTATGGCACTAAGGTGGATTTTTACAAATATAAAGCAGCAACAAAGCCATGCATGTTGACACATGCTTGTAAAACTTCAGCCCTTGGGAGGCCAAAGCAGGGGGAGTTTAAGTTCAAGGTCAGATTGACCTTGGCTTAAAATATATATGAAAACCCAAAATGTACCATGTCATCTCAGGTTACTTGGCTCTGAAGGCATTAAGGTATGTTATAGCAGGGTTTCTTGTCCTCATTCCCAAAGTTCTCTCTAGGTGGGGTGATGGACATGCACACAGAAGGGCTGGAAAGCATGGGTTGGCACAGGAAGTCTCTTAGGCTCTTAAGAATAGCTGTGAAGCTGTGATACCCTTTGCTTATTTTTCTCCTTGCAGACAGACTCCGAGCTGGTTCGGGACAACCAAATGGTGGGACCAAGGTGAGGGGAACCGAAGGCTGCTGGGCCTGATATGACAGGGGTCTCTGAGCCCTGACTTAAAATCATCTACTTCTGTTGCTACCTCTCCAAAGGCCTAGCCAGAATTCCAGACCCATGTAGGAAGGGACAGGCTGTCCCGCAGTTACCCTGAGCCTGGATTTGAGCCCACCAAGCTGACCATTTGTGATGAGCTGCACGGGATGGATTAAACACTTCTTGTAGCTGAGCTGGCAAGAACCCCACAGATCCAGGCCATCTATTCAGCAGGCTAAGATAGGGCTTGAGTCTGGCAGAGCAGTATAGGGGCAGTGTCGGGAGAGCTGGCCATGGACCCAGGCCACTGTAGGTCTCTTTCAGGGTCTCCAAGGAACCCTACTTCTAGGAGAGTTATGGGGCCACCAGAAGAGACCTAGGCCCGAGGTTGGCCAAGTCTTGATGACAATAGTAAGAGTGGCAGAAATGCCTGTGCCAGGTATCAGAAATACACCTTGGGCATGATCTGGTATCAGGGGTACCATTCAGGGCCCCATTGTGTAGCAGAACAACAGTTGCCATCTGAGCTTCTGCAGGTACAGTGCCTCACAACAGAATCAAGGCTCTTATTACCCATACGACACAGGAGAGGAAACTAAGGCACTGACAGAGAGATCTAGCAGCACACTAGTATTAATGCCTCAACTCCAGTTCTCCTTATAGTGCCCTTGGCATCGGGTAGCATACATAACCTTCCAGACAGAGTACACATCTCAGCATCCCTTGCAGCTAGCTGTGATCATGTGACCATATCCTGGCCAATAAGAAGCAAGTGAAGGAACTGGCCATGTGCTTGGGTCAAGGGTTTGCTTTATTCTCTAAAGAGTGAGAAGAACTACCCCTAGAAGTGTTCATCAAGGGAAAAGTTGTCTTGACTCTGAGAAGGCATGAGGCAGAGGAAGGATCCAGCTCCTGCCTACCACACTGCTGCTTCTGAATATGTTCATGTTGCATCCATGCTAGTCTCCTTCAGGATCTGGGGATGATAGCCTTGTGGGCTCTAGCCTATCTGCTGTATGAAGCCCACTATTAATATCCTTCCAGAGGCTTCATCCTGCTTCTTGGAGTATCCCAATATGCTAGGTTCCAGAAGAGTCCACTCCTGGGTTTAACAGCTTCATGGCCCCAGCCACTTTCTGATCGTGGCTTTGTTTCTATTTCCTGGCCACACAGACATTGTTTATAAAATGGCACCTTTTGGGGGAAGGAGCACCAGCAGTGTCAAGAAAAGGTAGGTCCAAGATTAAAACTACAGAAAGGATAGGAGGGATAGGAGTACACATGCCATTCAGGGAGACTGAGGGAGGCTCCAAATCCTTTGTTCTGGTCACTGTGTGTTTTTTTCTCTTTGGTGACTCAGGACTTCTTTAGAAAGAGCTGCACTGAGTCAGTCCTACTAGCATTTTGGAAATATTCATGGTTGTCAAGGCTAAGGATGGAATGAGCATGGATGGCGAGCTATATAGGTTCAACACCTGGCTAGATATCTTCCTTCCTGTTGTGGGAAGCAGAGTGATGGGCACATGAAATGCCTATATATCTTTCATCACTGTATGTAGCTCTCAGTGATTTCAGTAAAGTGTGTGTGTGTGTGTGTGTGTGTGTGTGTGTGTGTGTGTGTGTGTATGCATGTATGTATGTTGACAGCTATGTTTTCATTCACAATGTGTTAGTGTCAAGTGCACTTGGCCCAGAGATGAACCTGGAATCAAATCCTGACTTCACTAACTGTGCCATTGGGTGAGTGATTTGCTTTCTATTGACTCAAGCTTCTATAACTTCCAAGGTTACAGGGGACAGAAAGGGCTATGGTGTCCAGAAGGTGTGGAAATTAAGATTATAGCTTCAGGAAGCTCCACAGAGAACAAGACTCAGGGCTGGCATTGAGTGGACTAGAGGACTGTGCCACAACAAACCCAAGCAAGCATCTGTTGCCGTTCAGCCAAGGGAGCCACCTGCTTCCCCCAACCCCACCTGCACCAGCCCCTAGAGCCTGGCTGTGAAGCCCTCCAGTTCCCCACCATCCTGCATTGGACAATAGGGGAGCACTGTTGTTTGGTGTTTTGAGGTTTTCCTAGCTGTAAGGTACCATGGGCAATGTGCCATCCAAGGATGAGCCTGTAGACTCCTGCTGTGTGCGACTGGGTGGTGCCTGTTCTCACCATTTCCCCTGGGTGGGTGGAAAGGCTATTTTTAATGCTCAGCACAGGTTCAAAGGCAGCAGGGAGGCAGACACTTCACTGAGGAATTGGGGTGGCCCTAGCCACTTGAAGGCTGAAATTCAGACTGTCAGCATCTCCAGTTCTATGTCCCCTGTAGGGAGACATCTTTAGCTCTCTAGCTGGCCCAAAGGATGCAGGCGGCAACTGGGAGCTGTGGAACCTGAGAGCAGTCCTTCACAGTCCTCTTCCAATCTCCATAAGTTGTTTCTCAAGAGAGGGGATAGAATGATTTCGTTTTCTGTTTTTTCTCTCTGCCTTTTGGGTAGGAAGATAGACAACTTGGCTGTTTTGTGCAGCAGCTTTCCAGGGGAAGCCCCTCTTTGCCTCTCTTTGATTGGACTTCACCAGCCAGCACCCATCCAAGCTGGACCCATTATTTGAGATGCAGGCTAAGGAGTCCCTGCCTCTCCAGGGAACCCTCTTCACAGAGTAGTTACTACCACAGAGCAAAGGCACCCAGAGTGGGCTGAATGGCCCAGCACAGCAAATGGAACAAGTTTGGAGATCTGATGTCTATTGGCTGGCTTTGACCTTTCTTGGTCTTTGTTCAAACACCCAGAAAGCCCAAGGGCCACACAAGCTACCCACCTTCCCCATCCCCTGGCGTTTAAATTTGGCCCCAGAATGTGGGCTTGAGAGTCACTACAGGTTTTAGAGTAAAGCTGTATTAAAACTTCATCCTTCCTCTTACTACTGAGGTGTCCCGGAACACTCTTTGGGAATGGTGTCACTGTCTTAAGTTGAGTACAGATGGCAAGTAAGTTGAAGTCTACTCGAGACTCCAGCAAAAATCATATTTGCAACAAGAATGTCATATTCCCCAAACACCTCTTGAGGCCAAAATGAAGTCAATTCCCAAGAAACCCAAGATGGCTATCAAAGAATCCACATGTCAAAATTTCAAGAGAGAGAGGAGGAGAATGGCATAGTCGAAGTTATAACTTCAGAAAGGGAGTCCGTGTTTGCTACCTGGGGAAGAATTGCCACGAGAGTGGGTCTGCCTAGGGCTGTGAATCGCCAGCCTCTTCCCTCTAATATAAAGACCTTTCTGCCATCAGCCCCTGCATGGCAGACTGCTCCCTGCAGATGGGCATTGGTCATACCTGGGTTCCAGACAGTCCCAAAAGGATGATCCCTCTCTTCCTATTACCAGCCTGAATTTTCCCAACCCCAGGAGTAGAAGATAACTTGCTGTGTCCTGAATGTGTCCAAAGAAATATGAGGATGATAAGGAATTTTACAAGAGACAAATGCTCTATAAGGAAATACAAAATGCTACATCTAAATTTGCCACCTTGACCAACATCAAGGTTTTCTGGTCTGTGATGAATGGAAGAGCCCTACAATGGCAAAGAAATTGGTGTTTCTCATTTTTATCTTGTTCATCGGTCCAGAGAACAATTGGATACAAAGATGTATTATAACAAAATAAAAAAAGTTTAAGGGAAGATGGATAGCTCCCTGAATCTGAGGCCCTCAGGCTTCCTGGAGTGTCCTGAAAGATTTTTTTTTTTTCCTCCCTTAAGCTAAGGACAGAACCCAGGATTTCTTGCAGGTAGACAAGCTCTCCACACTGAGCACCTCAGCCTCTTACCTGTCTCTTGCACAGCTGGCCCCACAGCCTGGGGGCTCTCTACATGATAATAAGAGAATTCACTTCCCCCAGGCCTGCATGTGTCCTAGGACAAAACCTGGCCAGGAAGCCAGAGCCTGACTGCCCGGGCAGCCAGCTGTTTCTGTCATTTCTCACAGTTTTTGGAAGTCACCTGCTTGCACTTCCTGCTTATTCAGGTAATATTTCCTTCTTGGGTCTCTAATGGAGTTGAAGAATTTATAGTTATAATTTTCCTTGTTACCAGATTCAGAAAATAAATTCACTAAAGAAATGTAAAGTGTATAAGGTTGAGAGACTTTTATAAAAAGATAGTTTTGGTAATACAAGTTACAAGTTAGAAAGTGAATTTGGCATAACCTTTTGAACTCACCAAGATAGGACAGACATGTAGTATTTTCTCTCAATTTGCCATCAATAATGGGCTAGACATCGTTGATGAACCTATTGCCTGTACATACTGTATATACTTATTATATATAGTTTTTCTTACTCTTAGATGAAAAGGGGGGGGATGTGATATCTTGTTTATACTCTCAACAAATAAAGCTTGTCTGACGATCAGAGGGTGGAGCTAGCCACTAGCTAACCACAAAGGATTGGAAGTTTGTACAGACAGACGGGAAGTGAGATGGCTGGGTGGAGAGAAGAATATGGGTGGGAGCAGACAGAGAGTTTGGTCCTCTCTTCAGTCTGAGGATTTCATAGAGGTAAGAACTCTAGTGGCTGGCTGCTCTGCTTTTCCGATCTTTCAGCTTTCACCCCTTAATATCTGACTCCAGGTTTTTATTATTAAGACTAATTAGAAGCTGGTGGATTTTTTGCCTTTACCTGGGGACAGCCTGGATTGGTACAAAGCCAAGTAGAGGTGCTGGGCAGGGAGACTGAAAGGGCAGGCTCTTACAGAGATTTTGATTCCTGATCTAACTTTAGTTCCTGTTACCAATAAATGCCCTCTTGTGCTTAAATCACATTTTTTTTTTCATTTTTATGTGCACATCATGTGTGTTTGTGGAGGCCAGATAGGGTGTCAGAAACCATGGAGTAAGTGAGCCACCAGTGTGGGGCCCTGGGAACCCAACCAGGGTCCTCCACAAGAGCAGAAAAAGCTCTCATAATTAATTGCTGGGTCACCCTCTGGTCCCTTGAATCTCTTTGACTTAGGTTTCTGTCACTTGCTATCAAGAGAGACCGAACCATGCAGCATGTCTGTCCTCCATTAAGCTCTCTGCTTGTCTGGAGTAGAGCTCAGACTCCCCATTTTCCTCTCACCCCTAAGGCAAGGTCAAAACTCACTCCAATGTGTCCCCACCACCCAGAAATGGCAACAAAGTGATGAGGAGAGAGCAGAGGTCAGATCTCACTGGGCCCTACCTTCATCTGCTTACCGTTCCCACATCCCTATGCCCACCCACACTCACCTCCAACTTGTTCCGAGACAGCACGCTGGAGTCAATGCGCCCCAAGGACATGTTTGGCAGGACAAGGTTGAGCACTTTGGCAGCAAGGACCTGGACAAGGAGGCAAAATGAGACTCATGAGTGCAGGCCAACCATTCTGGATGGCTGGAGTACCACCTGGGCAAGGAGCTGACACCAAGCTGAGTGCCATGGCCTTTGATGCTCAGGACGCGGGGATGCTGCTGATGCAGGGCCCTGACACAGGGCTCCTCTCCTGCTGGTGCGACCACCACCAGGTCTGTTTTCTTGCTCTGGCTTCTGGGCAGATACAACCACATATCAGATGTAATTGTGAGTTACTTTTGGGAGCCACTGATGAGCCTGTGCCCTCCCCCAAGTCACCAAAAATGACACAGCATAGTCACAATCATTGGCTCAGTTGTCAGCGAGTGAAGGAAGCAGGACAGCTTGGATCAGAGAGAATCACTTGCATGCCATGTTCTACCACATGGAAAATGAACCATCACCAGCCTGAACAGGAAGTCCTGTGGCACAGGAGAGGAGCCCCCTCTCTTATTCCCAGCTCCATGAGCCAGGAACACAGGCTGAGACCTCAATACTGGGCTCTGTTGGCACAGCTGCCGATGGAGACCCTGCCATTTCCCCCAAAATGGACCACAGGAGATGTTGATAGCACCGTGTGATAAAGCCTGGCATTCTATACATGCTCAGTGAACATGATGAGCCTGATTAGGGTCTCAGCCCAGTCCCCCTTTTGATCTCAGATATTCCCAGGAAGGCAGAAAACCCAATCTTGCACATCTGCCTTCTGAAAGAAGCTGTTTACTTTCACATCTGTGACGAGTGAGGACACTTGGGGCCAAAGAAGCTATTTCAAAAGTGAGCTGGGAAATGCTGAAATTAGAACCATGGGAGCTGGCAAAGGGCGAGTTCTCAGAAGTGTGGAGGGTGCCTAGCACACAGGTGGGTCCCTTGGTAGCAGGGGAACTGCTTGTGGCCTCCTGGAGCACTGGAGTCCTGTAGCAACACTGCTATGGGGAAATCTTCACACTATCATGGAGTTTCATCGAACTGACTTCTAGGCACACTGCTATTCTCCACGACTTCAACCCCAGCTCCCTGAATCCATGTGAGCCCTGATGATTGGCCATTCTATCCCTGATATTCTCAGAGGTTGCAGCAAAGTTCCAGGCAACAGGAAGACAGGAGCGATTTATGCCACTATCTCAGGCACTGTCCCCTTTTGCTTGATCCAACTGACTCCTTGCCCATCCTCAAAGCCACAGCCTCAAGCCAGCACACAGCTGGCTACCCACTGCAAAATCCTTCCCTCAGAATGGATAGATCAATTGATAGATCACTTGATCATCCACCGTGTCACCACAGAGGTTGACTGTTATGGTACAGATTAGTGCTTGTAGCTGCATTCACGAGAGACAGTGAGAGAGGACCAATTAAGAGGGGACAGCAAGGCAGAGGGACAGAGACTGCCTCAGCACTCACTGGCCCTGAACAGAAGAAGACTGCACAGTGCCTTTTCCCTTTCAACAGATCCACCGCCAGATCCCTCTCCTGCCGACAAGTCACCTGATTCCATGTGCACAGAGGCACATCAACCTGATGCAGGTCCTTCCCAAACTAAAGCTCCCTCCACCCCAGGCTCTCAAGCAGACACTGAGGTTCAAGATGGAGACAAGGACTGGGATGGCAGGAGCCATTTCTAGTTCCACAGGGTGCTGCAGAGGAGGGGCTCTGGTGCCAGGGAATCTGCCTCCAGGGGAGGATTACAGTAAAAACAACTCTGTCTCCTCTTGCCAGTCAGTCTTCCTCCATTAAGGAGGGACATTTGGGCAGCTAAAGGAAGCTTTTAGGGAAAACTGAGGGATTGGGGAAAGGTCACTATTTTCTGTGATGTGTTGCTTTAAAATGGGCTGTTCCCCCACAAAGATGAACAGTGGGCCGTGGCCTCACCTCTCTTCCCAGTAGAGAGGCTGTGTCCTGGCAACAACTTTTTTTTTTCCCCAGCAGCCTAAAGCTCAGTGGGGAGATGTGGTGGGAACATACCCAGCCCGTATGGGGAAGGTGGTACTATAGTGGCCGCTCCTGCCCCCTGGAGTTACTATGCTAACCCTCAGGATGGGGGAGCACACTGCTGAAGCACCGGCTCCTAACAATGACTGTCCAGTGCTGGCTGTGTAGATGAAGATGCTGGTGTCCTAGCAACAGGACTGGCTGCCCACTCACAGACATGGATGTGGGCCATCGCCTGCAGGGCTGCAGCCTTTTCTCAGGGTCTGCCTCACGGGCTGTAGGAGATCTGGGTACAAGCCAACCCTGGAGAGAGAATGGTGATGCCCAGGGCAGATGCCCCATTCCTGGGCAAGCATGGAAGGAAAAGAATGAAAGAGAGGTTTGCATGTGTGGTGATGTGAAGTGTTAGCTATAGATTCGACAGAATCTAGACCACCCATGAGAGGGCCTCCCAAGGGTGTCTGACAGGGATTATCCTGGTTGTTATAACTGAGGAGGGGAAGACCTGCCTACTGTGGGTGTGGCCATTCCCTTTTTAGGATCCAGCAACTGCATAAAATGGAGAAAGAGAGCTGAGCCCTAGCAAGCAAGTTCCACTTGCTGCTCCCCACTTCTTGACTACAGATGATGCAGTGTAGCCAGCTCCTTTAAGCTCTGCTGTCATGCCCTCCTCACCACAGTGGACTGAGAGCTAAATAAACCCGTCCCTTAAGTTGCTTTTGTCAGGATATTTTGTCACAGCAACAGGAAAAGAAACAAAGTGATGCCTGAGGATACCCATGCCAGCCCATGATCTCTGATCTCCCTGGCCCCAGGTAGGGCCCAGCAGGCAGATCCTACTTCAGTCTCCTGAACTCTCCTCACTGACCCCAGTGTGCAGGCAGAGGAGGAGTCTCTGCTGCTGGACAGGCTCTGATGCTTGCCCGGCTCCAGTCAGCAGCTTTCTAACCTTGCATAGTAACTTCTAAGGGACACTTCTAATAGGACTCATTCAGAGGGGAGAACGTCTTTGGACAACAACCACCACCTGGCTTAGAGAGATGTAGATATTTTAGTAGCTGCTTCCACCAAGAAGTCAAGGTAGGCAGAGGATGTTTCTGAGACCACAAGGCATCAAGCACGTACAAGAGGCCCTTCCCTACTGTTCTTTGAAGAGGGGATGACTGCACGAGGCAGGGGTGGAGGGTGGGAGGAGGGAGGCCTCTGCAGTGGAAGGAGGCTGACAAGAGGGTTGAGCGGCAGACGGGCTGAAGGAGGAGGCATCAAGAAAGGAGGCACCACAGCAGATCCCGCAACCGGAGGAGCGAGGGGTCCAGGACGTCAGATGGCTCCTAGCAGCTACAGTAGCAGGCCCAGCTCCTGATTCCCCCAGGAGAGGGAGGGCGGGGTCATGCTCACCCACAGGTGGAATGCATATGGTATCCAAGCCATCGTCACTTCAGTTGCCTTTTCAATAGTGGTCTTCATGGTCTTCAAGTTGTCCTGCAGGCATGGAGACAGCCGTGGGCCCAGCTCAGGAAGAGGAGACTGCAAACTGCCCACCCTCCCCACAATCCCAATAGGCAAGTCAGACCCAACTTGGTAAACTTGGGTGTAAACTCTGGGACAGAATTCTTGAGAAAGTCTCTTCAACAACTTTTATTAGTATATATTAACATATAGTCATTATACAACCTGTGGGTTTTGCAGACATTTCAGGTTTACTATGTATTTTACCCCATTTTTCTCTCTCCCCCCACCGCAACATTCCCTTTTCTTGCTGAGCCCATTCCTTTTTCCCAACAGTGCCCTTTTCACTTTTCATATTATGTGTGTCTGCATTCACATGTGTATATGTGGTACATGCATGCCTGTGTATGTGCATGCATATGTGCATATATTATGTGCATGTATGTTTATGTTGCAGTGTGTATGTGTGTGTTAATATATGTGTGTATGAGTATGTATGAGAATTCTTGGTTTTGAACACAGGGTTTTTCTGTATAGCCCTTGCTGTCCTGGAACTCACTCAGTAGACCAGGCTGGCGTCAAACTCACAGAGATCTGCCTGCCTCTGCCTCCCAAGTGCTGGGATTAAAAGCGTGCGTCACCTCTGCCTGGTGTGAGTATGTATGGCTGTGTGCATGTGATACAGGTCTCATATACGAGAGGAAATGTGACATTTGTCTTTCTGGGTTAAGTTTATTTCATTTTACATAGTGATTTCCAGGTCCATTCACTTTCCTGTGAGTGACACAATTTTGTTCTTTGTGGCCAAGGAAACCTCCGTTGTGCGAACACACCACATTTCCTTTTTATAGTCATCTGTCAATGAGCATCCAGGCTGGTTCCATCATCTTGGCCACTGAAGATTGCAGTGGTGAACCTGGGCGTGCAGATGTCTCTGATAAGCTGACCTGGATTCCTTTGGGTAAGTTCCCAGGAGGGGTGATGTCTGGATCACATGGTAGCTGTTCTTCATTTGTCAAATGGGGACAGTAAGGACTCCTGGGGTGTTTGTCAGGACTGACCCCTGCAGAGCTTATCCTTTGGTTCTTGCTAGTCAGTTGAATAAGAAGCAAACAGCACCCCTAGTGGAGACTCTGGAGAAGCGTGTGGCCTGCAACTTGGCTGCTTTTTGAGACAGGCTCCCACAAGGTAGGTTCAGGCTAACCTTGAACTTACCACCCTCTGTCTCCACTTCTGGAGAACTGGGATGGCAGGTGTGGACTCCCACAACTAGCTCTATGGCTGAAGCTCTGCAACCCATGATGCAGCCTGTATAAACAGGAACACTGCTCCTGAGAGTGAGGATGCTCTCTCCAGACTGAGCAAGCCCTGAAAGGAGCAGGCGGAAGGTTGAGTCCCTGCCACACCCTGGGGACAGTTCTGAATCAACTGCAGTGCCCATCACTGTAAATAGTAGAGACATGCATAAATGCCTTTATTGATCCAAAAGGTCTTAACAGCTTCTGCGATCATTTTAAAGCTTCTGCCTGTGAAGAACTTGCTGTGAGGGTTAATTACTGCCCCTTGGTTCTGCTGTGGTTTCTGAAAGCTGGCCTGCATTCAGGAGGCCAGGCAATGGCAACATCTGTGATCTGGGAGGGCTCTCTAGAGTCACTTCAGATCATTCTGGGCAGGGACACATCTCTGTGGGAAGTTGTGCAATAAAGATGTAAAGGTCTTATGCTTTTCCAGTGACTTGGAGCTCACTCTGATGGCTCCAGGGTAGAGAGCTTGCTTTTTAAGACACAGGTCTTGGAAACCTGAGCCCCCAAACTCCCCGAAATCAGGTTGCCCTTGGGACTGAGGGGGGGGTCACACCTAGAGCTGATGGTGGCTGCCCACTGGCCCATGCAAGGCTACTCACCTGCAACCCCCAACCCCCACCGTACCCCCATATTCCTTCCAGTGCACTGTAGTCCAGTGACAAAAACAGGCTTGGCATGTTCAGATGGGAAGTAGGATCCAGTCACAGGAAGATGACCTTGGTCTCCTTGGCTCAGAAGTAATCAAGCTGACCTTGAGGAAGACAATGGCCTCACTTCCTTGCCTGTGAATCTGGAGTCATTTCCTGTCCTTGCAGGTGGTGGGAGAAACAGAGCTTGCAGTGAGACAGGCCTCCTGGACACAGTCCCTCTCCATCCTCATCCTCCGGCTAGGGCCCTACAGAGCCGGAAATGGGGCACCCCAAAGGCCTGCTCAGGACTCCAGGGACCTCAGGCAAGGAGATGGTTACCACCGATGACAATCGAGGCAGCCCAGCCCAGACTAGGAGTTCTGCCTTCCTTGAGGCTCTCAGTAAGAGAAGGGATCCCAGGAGACTCATGAGGGGACAGCCAGGGCAGCAGCAGCTGAAACTTGTTCTGTGCAATTTTGGTGTCTAAGTTTCTGCTGCTCCTGTTTTCCCTGTGAAACCACTTCCTCAGCAGAGAGTGCTGGGTGCTGATGCCTTTGTCCTCAGTTTCTTCCTCAGGCTAAATATATCCTAGCTAATCCCAACAGAGCCTCAGTGTAAAAAGCAGATGGTGGTGACTGGGCACCCTCCCATCCCAGGGGTGAAGCTGGTCACCTTCGCACACCCACATACATATGAAGACTGACATACTATCTGGAGACCAGCTGAGGTTAGGGTACCGGCTAGAGGGTGCAGTCTGAGGACATAATTTTTCTTCCTGAGTTGAGTTCCACCGTGTGGGTCCCACATTCCCACACTGGAGGCCAGTGCCCTTCATCAAGCTGCATGCCAGTGCCGTTAAATGAGCTCAAGGATCCATGTGGCTCTGGGAACATCCACAGGGCATTGTGGGGATGCTCCCCTCCACAGCACCCCTCAACTCTGAGTCCCCACCTCTTCTACCCCTCAGAATCCCTTCCTGTGAACCCCACCTACACTTCATTTCTCAGAGTACAGGAGAGAACAAGGCAGCAAGTGGCCATTCTATGAGGCCTCACAGGACCAAGTGACTGGAAATGGGAGCTCTGAGCCAGGATCTTTCCCTGGGAAACCCTCTTCAGATTTTGATGGGGAAGGCCACAGTAAAAATGACAAAACCAAACCAAACCAAACCCCTCAAAGAACAAGCAGACCAACCAAAGGAGCATGTAATAATATTCCCCTAGATAAGCAGAACAAGCCCCCACCTGCAGAAAGAACAAATGACATGTGTGCACACCAACTGTATCCCGTGAACCAGCTCTGACATCATGAATGCTGACCTGCTCCCCAAGTAGGGTTTCCTCCATGCCCTTCCCCATCTTTTAGCATTTGAACTCTTTGAATTACTCTTCACTATTTAAAATTACACTGGGAAACAAAAATAAAGGCGTGGGGTGATCTTCTCTCAGGGAGTCTGTCTGAGGACAAGGCCATGTGTGGAGAGCAGCCGCATGACCTCAGCGGTGAACCAAGGAGTCACACTTGGACTGTGGAAGTCAAAGACAACACAGGCTGAAGCCCGGAGGCAGCAACAGATGCGGGCAGGCAGGGTTGGCCCTCGGCAGACCAAGGGAAATCTAATTTGTCTTGGCTAATCAGAGGAGCCCTGTGTCTCTTTAGAGACCCTGGCTCCTGATTTGACAAGGTGATCTATTAGTACCAAGCCCGAAAGGTCAGCTCAGAAGCACGGCCACTGCTGGTCCTAGATGGAGCCCAGAGGACCCTGGGAAGGAACCTTGACGGCCCTCCTCTGGGCACAGCTGTGGTGGTGCACTTTATCTAAAAGGCTCCGTGGACTGTCTCTAAGGGGAAAAAACATCCATTTTCTTCTTTGTGAGGGGTAGCCCCACTGGGGTGCACATCCACCACTCGATGGCTAATCCTGGCTAAACCACCCCTTCCCAAGCCTCAGTGTCCCCCACCCCCACCACACATGTCTTGCCTCTTCCCCTAGTCCAGAACTGTGTGGGTGAACGCACAGCTCCCACTTGGCAAGTCCTGGCACAGTTAGAGACTCCCTGAGGCACTGGCCACAGGTCTCTGAAACGAAGCCATTCGAACACGGTAGCACCTTCCCCTCTAACCTCTCTCTTTCTTACTCTATTTGGAAAAGCACCTTGAACCAACTTGGCCTTGCCCCACAAAATCAGTTACCAGGGCAGATGAAGAGAAGGTCACAGCCTTTGCACCTTTCCGTGATGCCTCTGTACTCAGTGCCTTATGTGTTGCCTGGGACCACAGACAAGTGCCATCTGGGTTCCACTGAGTGGATCCCAAAAGACAGGGGAACAAGGGGCCACATAGGTATTCAACCCGTCATCATTTGGTGGTGAAGAGTATGTGCTGCCCACAGCACCTGGACCCAGGCTACACCACCTCACCTTCACTCCCCTCCAAGCACCCTGAGAGCTGGCTCAGGCCACAGTAGCCTCTGCCAGGGCTGGGGCACTCCTTGGGTGCTCCACTCTTTTTGGGCGTTCTCATGCCTCCTAAGGACAGATCTGCACCAAGGCCGTATCAATGGTCCCTCAGGGGTACTGGCTTTGGGTATTTCTTGAGGTGGGGATAGATTTGGTTCTAGGTGCCTCATTGCCTTGTTCACCTAGTCAAAGGGAGTCAATCCTCTGGCAACAACTGCTGTATGATCGATCATACAGCACATTGAACTCCCAATCCAAATGATACATCATCCATCAGGGCTGAGGCTAGAAGAGCTCAAGGATGGACTGCAACAGCTGGGAATGGTCTGCAGCTGCAGCTGCAGCTGCAGCTCCTACTCCGAGTTCTCTTTCTGCCGAGGCTGGCAAGTGTTCAGTGGCAGAAGCTTAACGCTTGCATGGGACTTGTCAGCATACGTGACTTTGCCAGTTCAATACCTCCTGTAACCTTTCCTCCTCTTAACTTTGGCCAGTACAACATGTATAAACAGGAAGTCTTGCCTTTTGTGTTTGGAGGAAAGACACCTGACTTCAGCTTAAGTCCTTACACAATAGCGTCTGAAGTTCAGGATCGGTGGTGAGCCCTTTGACATAGACTCCAGCTGTAAAGGGATATGTCACGTTCCAGAAGTTCCGAGGCCCACAGAGACTGCAGTGCCCTCTTACCTTGAAAGTCGATGCAGATTCTGGATTGGCAAGAACCAGAGGTGAGATCAGGACCATGCCAGAGAAGTGGGTTGGTCTCTCTGCAGCCGCGAGGATGGAGATGGCACCACCCTGCAAGGCAAAACAGACAGCGTGGCACCAGCTTCTAATCAGAGTGACCCCGACTCCCTCATCTGTTCCCATGCTGGCCAAGAGCCCAAGTGGGGACCTGGAACCCACTAGCTGATCACTCCTTCCCTTTCCTTCCCTTCCTTTTTCTCTACAGTCTTACTCCATAATCCAGGACAGTCAGAGAGTCATGGCAATTCTCCTGCCTTAGCTCCCTGAGTGCTAAGATTCCAGGAGTGAGCCACTGTGCCTGCACATTTCTTGTCTCTGGGTTTTCCGAGGGCAAACATTTCAGACAGATACGAAGAAGGCTCTAGCTTGTGGGTCACAAATGTACCAACACAATTGCTTTCTAGTCTTAAACCCAAAGGTAGCAGACCCACAATTCATCTGTTCTGACAAGCTTCAAATGAGTTGTTTCCTTTCTTTATGGGAGAATCCAATTATAGTAATAGATGTGTGTATGTGTTTAGTAATAATTCCAAAATTTAAATTCCAGGAATAATATCCAGTGCTGAGTGAATGTGGATGGAGCAGGAGGGGGAGGAGGAAGTGGCAGAGGCAGTCTTGTCTCTCTGAAGCCCAGAGGAAATTGACAGAAAGACTTCCAATCTCAACATTTAGAGGGGCCAGGCAGGTAAGAGAGCCAGGCAGTGAGGACGTGCCCTGTGCAGCAGTCCTCAGCCCTCTGCTGCTAGCCAGCTAGCTTTCCCGCTGGAAGGGATGGCCTGTGGCTGCTGGGGAGGGATCATCTGAGTTTATAAACTTGGTTGGTTCCTGGAGCTAGGAGATCTCATAGGGAAATGGACTCAAACTGCTTTCAGGGCTGTTTCATGAGATGTTCACACTCTCTGCCATCCCTCCTGCCCTGGGCAGGAGGAATGCACTCCAGGATCTAGTTCTGGGGACTAGGGGTGCAGGGGACTCCACAGATAGGTGTGTGAAAAGGACACTCCATCCAGGCAGAAGCTAGAGGCAGAGCACAGGAAGTGAGTAAGTCAGTCAGGTGGTCTTGTGGGGACAAGGCTTGCTTTGAACTTCTCTCTGTGGCCTGCTTACCATGGAGTGGCCCAGAAGGAAGACAGGGACCCCAGGGTAGTCCTTCTGAATGGTGTCCACATGCTGCAGCACATCTCTGACAAAAACCTGGAAGTCCGATACCACCATCCTCTCTCCTTCACTCTGCCCATGGCCAACTGGAGAGTAACGGGAAGAGTTTTATTTAGTGTCACCCTCGGATGCTACATGCACATCACATTTAACCCTGTCCAATCACTCCTTTCCTTGTAAGCACAGAGAGCTTAAGGAACTTTGCCTCATAGTGCACTGCTAGGAGCACCAGCTAACACACTTCCTTGGAGGCAGTTTTCCAAGGAAGAAGGAAGGGGCAGGAGACATACAGAGTATACCTTATTGAGGCTCAGCTATTTTCCTGTGTCCCAACCTTGACCCTTTGAGCTGTGCCTCACTGGTGACCTTTGACCAGGTGTGTTCTGTCTCCTCTCTGCAGCATCAGGAGATTACACATCAAATCAAACAAGAATGGTCAAGGGGACTTGACAAGGATCTCAATAAAGCAGCAATAAAACTAGACCCCATCCCCTTCCTTTTGGGTTGGTCAATCTGTCACCCATCTGTGCAGTGCATCTCTCCTTTCTCCTCTACTTAGGGTCTCTGCACTTTTCCCTGGCTGTGAAGGGCATCTGTTGCTATAGAAATGGCTGTTGGCAGCTGTGGAAAAGTTTGGAAACTGTAAAACGGACCAGCTTACAGAGAAGGCACCAGCACAGGGGGCCATGGCTGCATCAGGCTGCCAGGAGCTGGCAGTGTTGTTCACAGAGCCTGGACCGCCTCTTCGAGGGGACTTTGCATCTATGGGGCAAAGACTCTGCTGCGGCCAGACCCCTATGGGCCACTGATGTCCCTACCCTCCCAAGCTGCTTTTCTGTCAGTGTGCCTGGACAGCAGTCTTACCACCTTCAGAGGAAAGCTGCCGAGTCTCATGCCTGTCTGGAGTGTCCCCTTTTTAAAATGCATTGCAGTTATGGTTAAGTGTGTGTCACAGAAACCACACCACACCAACCGTTTCTCACCAACTCAGTGGCATTGAGGGTGTTCACAGCATTTTGAGGCCACTATCTACCCCCAGGCCATTGCCATCTTCCCAATGGCCATTGTTTGGCCTCCATTGTTCCTTCCTCCCCTCACTGAAGGCCTAACTCTAAAGAACGGTCCTATGTTTGCAGATAAGGACTTTACAAGGTGATCAAGTTAAAGTGACTGATGTCCTCATACGAAGATATGTGGGTGTGGACACACAGGGGGCAGCCATAACAGCGAGATGGTGCCTGCAAGCTGGGGAGGAAGGCCCCAGGAGAGCCTACACCTTCACCTTGAATTTCTTTCTTTCTTTTTTTATTTAAAAAATTATTTTTCATTTTACATACCAACCCCAGTTTCCCTTCCCTCCCCTTCTCCAACCCCCTACATCTCCACTCCCCGTCCCCATCCACTCCTCAGAGTGGGGAGTCTGGCATACCAAGCTGAAGCAGGACTGAGCCCTTCTGCCCTGTATCAAGGCTGAGCAAGGTATCCCACCATGGACAATGGGCTGCAAAATGCCAGTTCATGCACCTGGGATGGGTCCTAGTGCCACTGCCAGCCACACCCCAAACACATCAAGCCACATAACTATTATCCACATTCAGAGGGTCTAGTCACTGAGTGTTATCTCTGTCTTCCACCCAGCAGAGCCTACATCCCACAATCCCTCTACGTCATCTGGTCTCCAAACCAGGCTGGCTTTGGCTTTGTGCTTCCATCCATCCCATCTTCTCCTACCCTTTGGTTACTGGGCCCCAGTCTCCCAAGTCAACCTCCATATGACTTGCAGGGTTGAGAGCACAGATGTGTTCCTTGTTCTAAGCTACCTGTGCCTGCCCCTCCTTTTCTCAACCAGTTGCAATGGGGGAGGGAGGGACTCCTGTGTTCTCTCATCTCCCTTCTCTTCAGAACACAGTCCTTGTGTACCAGGGCTCTGCTGAAGGCTCCCATTTTGGTCCTATGTCCTGCTAGCCAGCACATTCCAAGCCACCTGCCTACAGTTCCCAGACATGCCCACACTTCTTTCCTGCCTCACCCCTCCGATCAGGCCGCCCACTGGTCACGCCATCAAGGCCAGAGACTAAGCTCTCTGAGGTTGTATTTGCTGGAACCCTTCTTAAGGGTTGTATTTGCTGGAACCCTTCTTAAGAGGAAGGAACACACACTGCCCACCTGTCCACTGCACAGGGTCTGCACAGGCCTGGCAGAGGACAGGTACGTGACGGACGTTCAAAGTACAGCAGGAAGAGTGCCATAATGGCCAGAGGGACTCTGAGCAGCAGGCCCTGCACCGCTGCAATGCCAACTCCTGGCCTGGAGCTCCGAGTTTCAGGCATCCTCTGGGATCACAGATGCAACCACCACACCCAGCTCAACCATGCTTGTCATTTTCATTTATCATTTATGTATCTGCAGGCTTTGCTTATCTTGGAGGGCTTGGCCCTGCCCCTTCCAGGATTGGCTGTTACTGGAAAGGTAACCGATTGCTTGTGAGCTAGCCTTTAAAATGCACCACCCTGCAGGAAAGCACACCCACACCCACCACCACCCTTATCAGGTCCTTACCCAGGGATCTTCTTCCTCTAATCATCAGTCAGGGACAGCCCCACACCCAGCCAGCCCATCTGAACCCTGCTCACCCTGGTCCAGCCCTTTCTGTGGAAGTCACAGTGGCAGCTCCCTGTGGTTTCTCCTTGCTCCCTCTGCCACCTGGCTTCCTGTGGGGACCCTACGTGGCACACATGGGTGTTAGGTCTGTGTGCTGGGATTATGAACTACTTTCCATATGCCTGTGTGCACAGAAAGTTCACCAGCTCAGGCCGTGACCAGAAAGCCAATCAATCACCCTGTTAGTGCCAGAGTAGAAAGACACAGCACCCCATCTCAGTCTTCTCAGAGAACTGGTTTTACCTAGTATCCCGTTTCTCCCCGAAGGAAAACCTGGTGAAGACAGCCTCAGCATGGGAAGTAAGACCTGACTGCACAGGAGCACCCGAGATCTGCCAGGGAGTCTAGGACTCACAGTTTTCTGAGTCCATGTTGCTCAATCCTCGTAAGTTTGCATGTCAAGGACCCTTATGTTTGGCAGCTGAGAAAAAAATGACCCTGGAAAGCTCAGTATGGAGCTTTAGTTATTGGCTGGCAGGAATCTGTGATTAGGCCTTAGTCTCCCAAGCCAGTGTCCCTACTGTCACATCTCTGGGCCAAATCGGTCAGGAAGCAAGGAACTAGGAGATTGACAGCATTTGAGATGGCACCAGGACCTTGCACAAGCTAGGCATGGACTAGATCATGAAAATAAAAAATTACTCCATTGGCCAGGTGACCTCAAACTTTCTGTCCTCTTGCCTCAGCTCCTGAGGAGCTGGGACGAACAGCTTGTACCACTAGCCAGCTCTTCCTCTTCATCCCCCCTCTTCTGCCTCTTCCTCCTCCTCAATAACAAAGTCTTTCTTAACAGGAAAACTCTGCTGTGGAAATATACCAATCATGGGGTAGTATGTGGAATCGTGCAGGCAGGAGGCTACATCACGAAAGGGAGCTGGCCAGTCACCTTGTGTAGGGACAGCCTATGTGGTCTTGCTCCCCAGAGCCTGCAGATGTACAGATAGGGAGGCCACTGGGAATATCCTATAAGCGTCTGTATGTTTCTATGTGTTGCCATGAGGGCAGAGGGGATGAGCAGAGATGGATACTGGAATGAACTACAGCAAATGAAAACAGAGACTCATTGGAGACCCACTGTTGGCGAGTATGGGGGCTCTAAGCTGCTGGCCGAGTGCCACTGGGGCATGTATGCGGACTTGAGGACAGGGTAACAGGGTATCAGAGGTTTCACGTGTCTGGTTGAGCTGGAGGACTGTTTGGTGGGAGGAGGGTGAGGAAGAGTATTATGGGAAAGGATGGATGGAGTTCCTGGTGGCAGGTCGTGGCAGTAGACTGTGGTAAGGTCACTCACCTCCACCACGAGAGGTGGAGAGATGACAGACAAGAAAGATGGGACAGAAGGGAGAAGAGGCCAGACATACCTGCAATAACTGAAGTACCGTGAGAGGCCTCCGTGTTTGCCAGAGCCGCCCACGCTAGATCTCACGCTGGGGTTGGCTGCTTAACTGAGGCTGTGCTGCTGATTCCCCCAAACCAATCTTGATGTTGCCCTACTTATATAAGTCAGAACAAAGATTGTGTGTGTGTGTGTGTGTGTGTGAGAGAGAGAGAGAGAGAGAGAGAGAGAGAGAGAGAGAGAGAGAGAGAAGGTATTCTAGTAGCCCTACCCTCACCTCCAGATGCCCAAAGAGCAAACCTGGAGCGAGGACAGGGCTTTCTAGGTGTCAGGTGTCAGAATACCTTACTTAAACTCCACCATCTTCACAGTGAAGGCCTCGTCATCTGTCTCTAGGACTCTGCAGTGGACTCACCACCTTTCCCTGGCTCCAAATCACAAGTCCTCTGCCAGATATCCACACAAACCAAAGTGCCTCATCTTATCAGGCATCTGCATGAATCAGTGTCTCCTCATCTCTTACCTCTATTCTTCTTCAGGTCTTCTTCAAGTCCTACTGCACTCTGCAAAGAGGCCTTTCTCCATCTGCCACTAAAGCCAGCACCATGGACAGATGGAAGGGCTGATGGTGAAACAGGCTCTAGGCTTGGCCTCGTCCCAACTGGACAACTCAGGATGGAGAGCCATGAGCCATGGGCTCCCTTAGCAGGCTGTCATGTCTGTGCATTTCACCCAGGCTCAGGCCTCCTGTCTGGGTTTATTTTGGTGAAGTCCACAGGGCTGGGTCAACACTATACTCTAGTTAGCTGGCCTTGGATTCCAAAGACCATCTGGTTGTCAAGATGACAGGCATTTCCTGCCCCTACAGTCTGCATTCCCAGACAGCCCACAAGAACAGCAGGCACCAGAGGATGGGATACTGTAGGACACAGATCAGGCCAGCAAACTCGTCCTGAGAACTGTGGGGTGGACCTGGAAGAGGTGAGTGTGGGAGTCTTGACTCCTTCAACCCCAAAGGACAGTGATGTCCTCTGTCTATGAATATCACAGTGTTTGAGGAGCATGGCGGGAGACTTGAGTGTGTCCCTA